TTTGGCCGCGCCCAAGCCACACATCAATGGAACAAGAAGAAAAACACGCCTTCTTTTTCTTCTTCTTCTGCATCTTCGACTTCTGTGATTGTATATGCCAAATCTTTCTGACACAGACTTTTTTCAAAAGGCGCAAGCTTCAAACAACAAACGGCATCTTTCTATTCTGAGTGCCCCAGCTCAGAAATGGTCAAGTCTGAGATATTGAAGCAACACACTTCCAGCCATTGCTTGTTGGCTCAAGATTTGGCGCTGCCTCACTCAAGCCAAGATTTCCGAGAACTGGCTTTACTCCAAATCTCCACTATATGATTCACAAGTTTCACTGCGTCAAGCGCAGGCATTTGACTCAATCGTGTCATCGCCCGCGACAAATCATCTGGCGTGCATGTGTGTGGCCCACGCTCCAAGCTTAGCTCTTGGACCTGCTCAAACCACTTTTCCCCAATCACATTCTTGTACATCAAATGTGGTAAACGCTTGTTGGCAGTAGCGAGGGTGATGAGCACCCCTTGGCTTGCTATTGGCATGCTGCTTTGCTTCAACTGCACCAACCTGCGCGGGTTCCGTGCTCAGGTCCACCGTGTTGGATATCAGAAACATCATGGACTGGTTTTGGGAGACCCCTAGATGGCGCTCTCCTTCACAGATGCCTAACGAACCACAAGCAAGGCCTTGCTAGCTACTCGGGCCTCACCATCCACTCACTACCCACTCGCAGCCTCAATGGCAACCTCTGTTGCTAGGAGTGGATTGCTAGCAACTCACCAGCCACTAAATCAAATCGCGTCAAAACATGCAAGGTTCTCACTAAGGATTTCCCACGGACACCCTGGAGAAGTACCAGTCCATGAAAACAACGGGATACTGTTAACCATTACAACTTCAAAACTTCAACTCAATTTAAACATCTCATGTCCTGTGTGCCCTTTGAGGTTTAGCCCCTGCGAGAGACCGCCACTTCCGTCACTAATTCTTGTGCACAATTGGATCCTCCAAAGTTTACATGCCAAACAAGCAAGCTGCTGTCAACTTTCAATGTGAAAGGTGCTCATTGGCCTTCCCTAAAAGCAGGTCACACAATGAATCTCCAGGATGCTAGGAAGCTTTGCTCTTTTCAACTTATGCCCCTGGGAGATTGGGCGCACACAGAGCCCACACAAACACAGCCACTCAAGTTGGAAAGCAGATTCCACAGCGGACTGGAAGGTAAACAGCAGGAACCCCAAGTACCGAACTGGAGACAGTCGAAGGTTCAAGGCCATCTGAGTGCTTCGGCCTTCAACTGAGCAGCCAAGACCAAGACAAGACCAACCACCAGGAAAGTATATAAGGAGGACTCACAGGCCACCAGAGAAGTCAGTCGACCACTTACGAAGTCACACACAGCCTTCCATCGAAGCTGCCACCCTCACTGTGACGTGAAAATGGGAAGGCTTTGGGGTGTCCCCACACCCAGGTTTCCAACCTACAGTTCGCCGTAAAGCCGTAAAGTCAGGAGCGGTGAAACTGGGAGTGCAAGTGGCTCGACACTGTACTGCAGCTGGATTTGGCGGGGTTTGTAAAGCTCGGAAAGAAACTTCATGAACACAGCCTCTGCGACCAAGGGGCCAAAGCATGGTGAAATCTTCGATAACCTTTCCAAGCGCACTTCTTTGAAAGGGCGGCCCGAAGCGCAGCACCACAGCCCGAAAACGGGCGAGAATGAACCACGCCTTGCCACCTCACGCAGGAGACAGTAAGTCTGAGTGTCCTCTTTCGCAGACACGTGATTTCATGTTTTTCACACGTGGCCATCAGGGCCCTTGAGCGATAAACGGCAACGCCCCATAGAAACAGCGCGGTTTAGGATCTCGGACTTCGATTGCCGTGTCCTACGACATTGAGATTGGTAGCAGAGCCCATCACGCTCCAGGCTGAGTTTGTCCTCGGTGACCCACTTCCCAGAGAGATCGCCTTCGTTTTCCTCCTGACGGTTGAGAATTTGATCTACCCTATGTCAGGGGCAAAGCGGGGGAGCCCCAGACGGACACCTGTCCGACCAGGACATCAGCCCCTGGTGCAGCAGCACCCACTACGACTGGAGGTGGCCTATTCGCCAATGTTGAACGGGACGGTGATGGAGCCCTTCAACTTCCACGCTCCCCACAACGCAGTGGCCTGCGGCCTGGACTCGGGGTTAGCCAAAGCATGTCCCTCTTTGGAAGGTTTGTCCCAGAAGACCTACCGCAGCTTCAGGAGACGGTTGGAACTATTTCAACGCCGCAACGTGATCGTCGTGGTCGTGGCACTTCCATCGAGGGAGCCTTCCTGGTGATCAGCAAGTTGCGAGATGTGGCGTTGGACGCAACAGAGCAGGTGAGTTTCGATGAAGTGGAGCGATCAACGGCGCCCTTCCAGCTGGCTCGACGAGCTCTACCAGCTACCAGTATGAGGACCTCATCGAAGGATAGGTTCATCCATCAATCCTTTGTCCAGAGCCGTCTTGCCAAACACGATGTTGGTTCTTGCTTCATCTTGAGTAGTTGAAGACGTCGGACTGCATGTAACCGCTCCACCGTCCCCATTTGGTGATGGGCTTCCGTCATCCGTGTATTGGAGGAACTGGTTGCTCATGTGGGCACCAGAAGCATCAGTCCTGATTTGTGATGGGCAACCAATATTGTTGATCCATTGATCCAAGATGGCCAGCTCCTCTTTCTGTGTCTCAGCGGCCACGACTGCATTCATCTCGTAGCGAGAGTAGATGTCAATGATTGCCAAAACCCTTCTCTTCTCTTCTCTTCTCTTCTCTTCACTTGATGTGGAACACGTCCATCTCCAGATTGGCTTCTCGCACCGCGATCACTCAGCGGTCACGACCGGATGGCCAAGTTGTCGGCGAAGCTTCTCGATCACCTGTCATGCCTTCTTGGAATGAGTTTCTGGCTTCTCTGAGTTCATCTTCTGGGTTTTGTCGATCTCCTCTGTCACGAAGGCTGGCCATGATCTTGGCAATTTCTTTCTTTCTCCAAGATTCATCCATACTGACGTAGATTGCATTGGCTGCCTGCCTCACAAAGCCTTCTTCATAGTTCTGCATGCTTCGAAGCTGCTTCGTCCTTCCTTCCATTCTCACATGTGCTTCCTGGCATTCACAAGGGAGACGCATAGTCTCGGCCAACGTTAAAGAGCTTGTGCGGATGCAAGTCTGCTTCCTCACCGGACCACTATCCATTCCATCATCCACTCGTGGTCCAGTTCGGCATCGGTCACAGATGGCCTCATAGTATCCCTTCATGGACTTCGTAGTTGTCGTTTTCCACGAGTCAGCTCCATGGGGATGTTCACAGGCCTAAATAGTTGTTGCCATCTTCCTTGGTCACCTCGTAGTTGTTCGCGAGGTGGACGGAGAGATTCCCTTTGTCCACGTAGACCTCGAAGAACTTCAGCTTTCGCTTTTCTCGCAAGCGGCGAACCGTCTTCTCCGCAATGCTCTCCACCTCGACGCCTCTTGACAGTTTTCTGTCGCTGTCGCCTCCAGTTCCATGGACGGCTCACTGTCCCACACATCAAGGCGTCCTCCATCCATCAGCTCCGTTCCATCCGGACTCCCGACCTAATCTCCAGCTCCTCGTACTGGTAGGTCTCTTCATGGCACTTGCTTCCTGGAATACATCAAGCAGAAAATGTCCTCTGGCATTTCGCTCAGGCTTGAGCCATGGGGAGTTGCCGATCTTCATCATACCGTCCTTGTAGTCGCGGACGGCTCCCCACTCTTCCAACGTAGGGCGTGCCAAGAGGAATGGCGTCGATCCCGGCACCACAGACGCCGTGATTTCCAGAAGCTGTCCATGTACTGCTGCTGTGAACGTCACCTCATAGGTAGAAATCAATGAATGTCTCTCCACCACCGAACTTGAACTGGCGCTGGACATTGTTGGATACCACGGGCTTCAACTTGTTGGCATCATACTTCTCCAACCATAGATGCCAGTTGTTCTCTCCCACAATGGTCTGTGTAGCGCCACTGTCCACAATGGCCTTGGCGACCTCGGTTGCAGCGAAGAAGCACTGCTCCATGGTGGCGTCCATTCAAACTCCATCTCCTCCTCGTTCACAGCCTCTTCCACCATCATCACCTCTTCAGGGACTTCCTTCACTCCTTGGGTCTGGCTTCGGTATCTTTTGAACCGAGGACCATGCTGTTGTGTCGATCCGGAGAATGTCGACTTCTCACCTGACGCCGTTGTTGAAGTCGATGACATAGGTCCTTTTCAAAGGCCAGACATTGGGCTGTGTCCACAGAGGGACGCCAGGTCGGGTGAGTAGGTGCCACCCCGAGAGAAGCGTAGGCACCTCCACCTTCACCTGCTTCATGTGCTTCAGCAGGGTCGTGCGGCGAATGAGGTATGCTTGAAGTTCCTCACAGGTCCTCACCTTTGTTCCTTTGGAATTCACTGAAGAATTCATCGCGCCTCGGTGGGACCGAAGATCACCCAGCTCTCATGTCTCTGAGGCTCAACGCTGCACGATCTTTCAAGCGAATCACAGCCAAACACTTCGAAAAGCCCTGCTCAGCAAGAGTCAAGGGGCCCTGGAGACATAATACCCCAACGACTGGGTCTACTATTGGAGAAGTTCAGATAGTAAACTGGAAGTGAGTCGATGGCGTGGTCCGGCAATTGTGTGCTCTATGACTCCTCGCGGTGGCACTGAGTCAATTCCGGTCCCTTCAGTCTACTGGTTGGCTCATGGATCTGCACTCGTTCGAGTTTCTCCTGACTGGTCTTCGTCCTGAAGCACCCCGAGAAAGGCAGTCTCGTTTGGAGCAGTTTCCGCAGACTGCCCGAGTGTCTGATGTCCAGGCCACCGTTCGCCAGGCTCTTCAACCCGTGCGTGGACCAGTTCGTTTTTTGGGCCTCATGGAAAACAAACCTTTTGCTGGCGCATCGGGCGAACAAAACGACATGAAGGAGCCAGAGGACTCTCCAGAAGAAGATGAAGTGGCAAGAGAGAGTATCGAAGATCACCGACCGAGAGATGGAAGAAGATGGTCCGGAGACAGCTAAGATCGCGACAGCTTGATGGATTACCTCCGGTGCAATCCACGGATCCCATCTTCCAGAGGTACATGGACACCCTGGAGCTTCTGGACGATGATGAGATGCTGATGGCCGAGCATTTCAATGAGAATAAGCTGACTCCTGAACAGCGAAAGGAGTTCGAGGAAGCCAAGGACTCGGCTCTGAAGGTGTGGATCGAGAATGCTGCCTGCAAGGCGGTTCCTGAAGAGGAGGCCAAGGAGGGCGAGGTGGTGCCCGCCAGATTTCTTGAAAGATGGAAGCCGAGGGTCATTCTCCAAGGTTTTCGCGACAAGGACGTCTTGCAGGAGTCGCGCGTTGAGTCGTCTTGGACGCATGGTCTGGGCTGTGCGCCGCAAATGGAAGGTTTGGTGCGCTGATGTAAAGTCCGCATTCATGCAGACAAACTCTATCGATGATACCACCCGCATCTATGTGAAGCCCCCGGCCGAGATGAGAAGGAGACTGGAACACGGCTCATGGGTTTGAAAAGCCGTGCGATCTTGAAGGCCACGAAGCGTGCGTTCGGGGATGTGCGAGCACCGTGAGACAGCCAACGACCTGGTCAGTGACCTCACGTTGATCAACCACCCGTTGGACCGGTGCTTGTATCTGTCCCTACGACCGGCATCTCAGGAGGACCGCAGCTTTCTGGTCTTCAAGAACAAGGGCGGCCACTGGATCGTGGATGGTGCTCTCGGACTACACGTTGATGACTTCCTGGGTGCTGGTGAAGGCATCTACAGTCTCAACGAGGTGAAGGCCGACGCTGCTGGAGCTTGCGAGAATTTTCCATAACCGGGTGCGCCTGCTCTCTCACAAATTCCGGTTCGGGTGATGGGACTTCGGAGACAAGATGAGGTTTGGTTTGATGGATCTGACGTTTGTCAGAGCCCCGACATGGAGGTGATTGGCGTCTCACTGACAAAGTATGTGCACAAGATCAAGCCCTTGAGCATGGAGAAGGTGAGGAAGAACATGCAGGACGACAAGGAGCACAGGTTGCTTCGGGCTTTGGTCGGTGCCATGTCATGGCCGGTCAGCTGCCACAATCAGCATTCTTCAGGCCAACATCAACAAGCCGACCGTGAAGGACATGCTTGATGCTAACAAGTGCCTGAGGTTCATGAAGGAGGTGGTCAAGGATTACACCTTCACTATCCGCTGTCATGGAGAGTTGGAGCGCTTGCGGATCGGCGTCTACTGTGACGCGGCATGGTCAGTGTGACCAGATGGAAGCTCCCAGGGTGGCATGCTCATGTTCTTGCCCAACCAGGACGAGGTGCGAGGAGAGACACCGTTCCCTGTTACAGTGATCGATTGGTCCAGCAAGAAGTTGGTTCGCATGTGTTGGAGCTCACTTGCTGCTGAAGCTCAGTCAGCAACGATTGCCATGGACGAGCTGGAGTGGGCGAAAGTGTTCTTCGCTTCCATGGTGCGTGCACATGTTCATGGAGTCTCCGGTGATCACCGATGCGAAGGCACTGTACGACAGCGCTGGGTGAGTCGAGACTCGGCCAGTTCAGGTGGGTCAACTCCTTGCAACAACTTGCCGACGGACTCACCAAGCCTTCTGCGAAGGATGCCTTGGCTCATACATTGGCCCGTGGAGTGCACGCCCTCAAATACGACCCCAACTTTGTGGCGGCCAAGAAGGTCAGTGCAGAGGCCAAAGAGAAGGAATACCTTGAATATGAGAAGGCAGCGGAAGAGCTCTTCGATGGCCAGGTCTTCTACGTCGACAAGAGCGAGTTGAAGGAGAAGCAACAGCTGTGCATGCTGCCCGGATGCAACAAGCAGCGAGATTCGTCCACCGAGGGCAAATCGTTGCTGCAATCGTCGCCGCTTCTAATACTCACATCGTTTTCGGCAAGGGTATGGCGGCGACGAATGGCAGAAGGCAGCGAAGTGCGCACTGGCATTGCTGGCTTCCGAGGCGACGACAGCAGAGGCTGCGAATGAGACGGGTGAGAAGGACGAAGGTCAACCCCTGACCAACATGGCCATGGTCATCGTGTTGTTCGCTGTGATCGGCATGATTTCTGCGTCCCAGCTTCTGAAAAATGTCATCTACATGATCGCCAATAAGGTCTACCGGATCTTTCATCCTGCCGACGAACCGGGGTTTGACTATGTGGACGAGCCGCGGTTAGAAGCGAGCCGTGGAGAGATTGTGAATGCCGCGCGCCATGGCGAACCTGAGTATGACATGACCCCGATTTCGGACGAGATGGACGTGGATGAAGAGGGCCATGAGATCATTGAACGTTTTCAAATGACCAAGGAGAGGTGGATGCGCCTGTAGGGTCAACAGAAGTGGAGATGGACCAATGAGATTCTCTGGGCGGAGGCAGTCTCATCACAGATGCGAGGATATGTCTTGACGCATATCCTCCAGGAGAAGCGTGGAGAGGAGTACCTCACATTGACCTTGAAGAAGGATTGCATGAGCACGACCGACGCTGAAGCCTGTCAGTGGCACAGGTTTCTCAACAGCCACTTCAACCTCATCGTGGAGACCCACGTGGACGTTCGTGAGATGAGAAGACCCCCATGAAGCTGAGCGAAAAAGATTCCAACAAGGTCTTCGACGAGACCGGCAACAGCAGACCTATGGCAGCTACAGCCATGAGACAAATGAGATGGCACACACCCGAATCAATGGAGCTTGGGAATTTGTGAGTTGTAAAGAAGTGAGATGATGGTGGAAAGAAAAAGAACATGAAGATCATGAAGGCCGAGTGAATCCGAGTGAGGTCTGTCACGAAGGACTGAAGACTGAGCAGGGGCATTTGCAAGCCCTTGTTTATTTTTGAATGTTTTCCCTGCAGGGTGGTCAAGAAAAGCTTCCCCCTGTCTGAGTGTCCACTTTCGCAGACACGTGATTTCATGTTTTTCACACGTGGCCATCAGGGCCCTTGAGTCGATAGACGGCAACGCCCCATAGAAACAGCGCGGTTTAGGATCTCGGACTTCGATTGCCGTGTCCTACGACATTGAGAGTAAGTGCATGTGCGAACAGCAATCCTTGATTAATCCAAAAACTGTCAAGCGTCAGAGATCATTACTCTCACAAATCTAAGCCGGTGCCTTGTGCAGCAAGAAGGTGTTCAAACATGACAAGCTTGTTACAGCTGTAGGGTTCACACCTGTGCATCCCTATTCAAATTCTTGCCTTTGCAATGTCAAGAGAACGACAAGACAACTACATTGGATTCTGCGCAGTCAGGCGGCGTAATCGGCTTCCCATAGTCGCAATTGAGGTCACTCTAGGGGCCTTCAACACGGGAGTTGTGGTCACAATGATCCCATCATTGAAGCGCCATTCCAATTGGCAAAGCTCCTGCAGGAATTCAGGGGGGAGCGCTGAACCAGCAAGCTGGAACTTCCTCGCAATCCTGCTCCCGCTCCCCAAGGGTTCTACCGTTCTCATCCCTGTCCTCCTGTCCCTCCTTGACAAGAGGCAAAAAGAATTCAATCACATAGGTCTTCAACGCGCCTGCCAGCATGGCTTTGGACTACTGTGCAAACACCTGAGAAGGAAAAAACGAAAGCCAGTGGAACCCCTTTCAGTCGCCCGGAGCTAGACTTCGAGTTCAAAGGAGCTTGTGCAAATCTGGTTTATATCAACCAGTTTTCTAAATCGAGGCGCCCCAACAGCTTCCAAAGTATCATTGAGCAACAAAAATCCAAGTCTCTCTTTTCTAGGGGAACATTGACAGCTGCATGACAAACATGGACGGACATCCCAGAAGTCATTCTCTAGAAAATACAATGTTGATAAATCTTGCTTTTTTTCTTTTTGGCACTGTGTTCTCCAATCGTCCTAGAAAATGCAAAATCGACTGACCATCACCTATCATCATCTCACTCAAATTGCTCAGTAGAAAATGCACTGAGCAAATAAAACAACATGTTCAATCTGCTCGTTTCTAGAAAATGCCAGGGAATCAAGTCTGTGTACAAAAGTGGCTCCCTAGAACACATCCATTTTCTAGGGGACCTAGGTCCCTGCATTCCTAGTGGAAATGTTATCGGGGATCCAAAAAACAAAATCATCAATGCCACTAGGCTCTGTTATATAAAATCCACGTGTCCCCCCCCACACCCCCTAATTTATCACTTCGTTCGCTACCTTCAGCCTGGCCTTCGTAAGAAAAGGACAATTTTCATCAATTTTCTTCATTTAGGATTCCTGCGCAAACAGCAAAATGCATTTGTCGGCCTACAATCTTCATGATCGGCTTCGAGAAACCCTCCGGTGGCTTCTCAGGGTTCAAAGAAGCATCTCGGAGGAGTTGAGCCACCACGTGGAGAATAAAATAGACGCCTAAGGTCAGAGAACAGACTGAGCATTCCCAACCTGGAACCTTTGGTCTTTGCCAGGTGCTTGGTCGCCCAACTCAAAATAGCGCGGGCAAATTGAATTGGTCCATTTGCACGGAAAAACGGCATATCTGCACACTCAAGGGCGAGATGCAAGCTGTGAGCAAGGCGACAAAGAGCATAGTTGCCAAACAAGAGGCCGTCCCCGCAGACGGATTCAAAATCAACAAGGCCCCAACAGAGCTGAAGAGGAGAAAACGTATTGCCGCCAAACTCACCTCCAAGACGTCAAGTATTTCCTGAAGCATCAAAAAACACACACGAAACAATTCAACACAATTCGCACCAACTATCCAAGTACATTGACAATCGCACTCTCATTCGACCCCATAAAAAATTGCGTGTTGCCAATTTCCAGCTGCCTCGTCCAGTCTAAAACAAGCCTGGTCCAACTCTTAGTCAACCATGCACACATCAGATCGGGGCACTTTGTGAACACATCGTGGTTCACTCAGTGTGGGCACGATAGATCTTGCCCTCTGAGACCATTACGGCGCTCTCGTGCACATTACTCTGCTGCACTTGCTCTGGCACTGTCCCTTCCCGGGATTCCCTTCCATTGAGCTTATGGGGTGAATTGGGTTCAGAAAACGTTGGTTTCTTTCTGATGCGACATGTATGCAACCCAAACGTCCCTACACCAACAAACACCTTTCCTGCATAACACACTGGAATAGACATGTTCATGCTGCTGCAGGTCCGTGAAAAGCAAAAGCAAGTCCGAACAGAACCACGTTTGCATCTTTCAGGCCGAAATATAACACCCCACAACAAATCGATCCTAAACTAACCTTCTCCCTCTTTTCAAAACGTTTTGAAACCACTCAATCTCAGCTTCAGCCTGATCGTTGGAAAATGGTTTGATCCAACAAGCCATTGCAAGTTGGAGGCCTGACAAAACTGGAAATAACATCAGCTTTGCCTCTGAGTCCGGCACCTGGGCAGCTGGACTTATCGCAGGGTGGGCCCACGACAACACGTGAGAGCAACCGTCCGTTGGCCATGTTTGTGTTTGAGAACTGCCTTGCCTTTCAAACTCAATTCGTGCCCCCCATTAGAATTCCCCACAAAAAGAAACGTGAAGCTCTAACAAGCGTGGCAACAAGAATCAACAATGCCAGGGTCAACATGCAATGTAGCAACCCGGCTATTGTGATGAGACGCAGCAAAGCTGATTGATTGAAATATGATCACCATCTGTGATTTGATTGGATGGGATTGAACACTTTGTTGCAGTCTTTTGGCGCTGGTTGGTCTTCTGGACGGTTGGATTATTGTTCAAGAGATCCGTCTCTTTCTCTCCCTCCCTCTCTCTCTCTCTCTTACTTCCTCTCCCTCTCCCACAATCGGATTCTTGAATGTGCTGCCACGGCCGCTCCAACACACAAAACGAAGGAGAGAAGAGAGAAGAAAAATAGAACGAGAAAGAGAAAGCAACAAGAAAGACAGACATGCAGAAAAAGGAACAAAGAAACAGAGAGAAAGAGAGAGAGAGAGAGAGATGTGAGAGAGATGAGAGCGGGAGAGAGGGAGAGGGGGAGATAGGGAGAGGGAGAGGGAGGGAGAGGGAACAGGTGCAAGGAAACTACATACAACGGCTTTTAGGCTGAATGGTGGGCATGGAACCCAGTTCCAGTCAGTAAGACAAACGTATCATCCTGCAACTCCACCAGCCCCCAGCGGACCGGACACAAGTCTCGATTTATGTGTTGTGCGTGCTACCTGGATGGTTACACATCTCGGTTCTGTATGCGTCATGCCGAACATGCGGTCAAAAGTGGGATGACTTCCTGCAACCTTATGATACGGGAACCGATGTTGTGCTGATTGAGGCTGCATGTTTCGAGTGAGTGAGGAGATCGTGAACTTAGGAGATCCTAGCACATTTCACATCACTCACTGCCGCCGCCGCCACCACCACCAACAACAACAACAATCACGCAATAAAGTTGCTTCTGCAACTTGAGTGTGGGGCCGGTTTCGTGGCTCGAACATCTTGGCGTGCGCCGCAGTGGGATAGCACGGATAACACGGTCTTCTCCACATGCACTCATGGCATAGCAGCTTCCTCAGTCTGCCAGCCCATGAAGGCACCAAGAGTGATGGCACGCAATTGGCGGAGAAAAGTGACTGGGAACCGGAGTGTGAAGCGAAGCTGCTTTGAGTTTGCAGGGTGAGACTGATGGCGGAAAGGAGGGTTCTGTATATGAAAGGTGTAGAACAGCGTGAGGGGTTCCTGTGGAAAGTGTTGCTGGTTGCTGAATAGTTTTAATGGAAAATAGATGGAAATAGTGAGAAAACTCGCCATTCAAAGGGTCAAAAGAGTCAAACAAACATTACGATCGGCTCTGCAGCACTTGAGCATAAGGTGAGATTGGCGTCGTCCCAATGAAAGACTTTCTCAGCGTGGTTGCGATTTGTGTCCTTGAACTGTCTTGAGCCGCTGCGCCGCTGTTTTGCCACGCCACTGCGCTGTGCTATGGCTTTGTTCTTGTCGCCGCTGCGCCGCTGCGCTGCTCGCGCGTTTTGTGGTCTTTGAATTGTCTTGCGCCGCTGCGCCGCTACGCCACTGCGCTGTGCTATGGCTGTGTTCTTGTCTGTGGTGCGCCGCTGCGCCGCTACGCCGCTGCGCTGCTGCACCGCTGCGCCGCTGCTTTGCAACGCCGTTACGCCGCGTAGTCCACTGTCTGCGCGGTGGCACATGTGCACTTTTGTTACGCCTTGTTGTTGTTGTTGTTGTTCTTGTTGTTGTTCTTGTTCTTGTTGTTGATCTTGTGGTTGTTATTGTTCTTGCTGTTGTTGTTGTTGTTGTTCTCGTTGTTGATCTTGTGCTTGTTATTGTTGTTGTTCTCGTTGTTGATCTTGTGCTTGTTATTGTAATTGTTCTTGTTGTTGATCTTGCGCTTGTTATTGTAATTGTTCTTGTTGTCGTTGTTGTTGTTGTTGTTGTTGTTCTTGTTCTTGTTTTTCTTGTTGTTGTTGTTGGAGCGAGAACGATTCGTGGAGCAGTAGCGGGACGGATCGGAGCGGAGCAACGGAGCATGGGAGCGAGAACGGTTCGTGGAGTAGTAACGGGTCGGAGCGGAGTAACGGAGCATCGGAGCGAGGACGAATATGAGGACACATAGGAGCATACTGGCAGGATCTGGAGTCTAGAGGCGGCGCATAGATGCTCCAACAAGTGACATGATGTGACCAGTATATGTGTGAAGACGCTCGCTGAGCGTCAAGTCTTTTTCACATGTGACCCATCCGCCTTGCCGACAGCAGGGTGGGCTCAACAGTTGAAACAGTGCGGCGTGAGGCGTTGCAGCGTGTTTTGTTTTTTTCCTCTTGAACGAGGACCACAATTGCCTTGCCCATTTTTTCACAATAAAAAGAGAAACCTTTTTATATAAGCATCTTAATCTTGATTAGTCTCCTGGAGTATGCCGCGATGAATTTGGAGGTATTTTCATGGGTATTTTGGGGGTGGAATTAGATTGTGAAAAGGCGTGGCGAAGGAGATCGCTGAGGAGCAGCAGCGTCTACCAGCCAGAAGACGCGTGGGAGGTGAGAGAACGGCTTTGGGAGCGAAGCGGGCCCGTGGGAGGGAGAGAACGGCGGAGAAGAGGTTCGGCTGGGGAGCCCTTTTTAGGCATGCCGCGACGAATTTGGAGGCGTTTTTGGGTGGAATTAGATTGTGGAAAGGCGTGGCGACGGAGATCGCTGGGAGCAGCAGGTGTCTACCAGCCAAAAGCCGTGTGGGAGGTGAGAGAACGGCTTTGGGAGAGAAGCGGGCTCGTGGGAGGGAGAGAACCGCTTTGGGAGAGAAGCGGAGAAGAGGTTC